GCTGCAGCCTAAACACACCTCCCACGCCCACCCAAATATAAATGTGTGGGCTCCAGGCCACAGCCTTGCTGTATAGAACTCACTGCCTTGCTCACATACTCACCCCCTGCCACAACTTTGCAAATCCACACACACATGAACCCACCAGCATTTTATAAAAAATCTCTATCTTCCACAGAAAGAGGTTCAGACTGTTGGTAAATTCATTGAAAAACCTGACTAAAGCACCAAGGCATTTTAAAATAACTTAAATACACGTTCCTATAGAGGCATGGGAGTCCTGGTGTGACGCTGTAGGATAAGCACTGGATGGCTAACCATAAGGTCAGTGGTTCAAATCCACCAGCCACTCCCTGGAAACCCTATACAGGGTCACTACAAGTCAGAACCAACCCAACCATACCTGGCAGCAACAGCAGGAACAACACAAAGGCGTAAGTGTGTGTGATTTGCCGGTCTGGTGATCGGGGCAGCTAAGGCCTCTTCTTACAGTCTGGGTCTACTGGCTGCAGTTCTCTGTTATTTTTCTTACATAATCCACATTCAGAAGACATCTCTAACTTTTCCAGTTTTGTGCTGCCTCTCTTTAGAAAGTGAAACAATCTAAGAATAGTCTCTTTATAACTTCTTCTCTGATCCTTCGCAGCTTCACTCACCCACATTCTGACAGCAATTATTTTTAGTGACTCACCTTGATCAAATTTCCTTAAGCAAGCTACTTACTTTTCATAGAAACAATTTCATTTTATACTTTGTGGGGTCACTAAGTTATTTCATTAAATTATGTAATTAAAGTAAGTAATAGGCATTAACTAGTTAGGACAAACCCAATTGACTCTTGGTAAATATGTGGGGGCTGGAGGTGGGATTGGGGGCCATAGGGGGGTGGGGACTGGCAGGAGCAGGGGTGGAGGGTTCCTGGCAGTCACCCATGAGCACATGGTTCTACAGACCATGGTTCTGAGGGAATTTAAAATGTCAGATAATCAGGGGACAAAGTGGAAACTGGTTAAGAGAATTTCAATGGCACTGGGCAACAGAGGAAAACACAGCAGCCAGGCATTCCATTATCCTTTAAACCCGGATTATAATTTAAAGAAGCTCTGGGAGCGTAGTGGATTATGAGCTGAGCTGCTAACTGGAAGGTCAGCAGTTGAAATCTACCAGCTGCTCTGCAAAAGAAATATGAAGCTTTTTGCTCCTGTAAAGATTTACACCCTCGGAAAATCTGCAGGGTCATTCTGAGTCGGAACCAACTCCCCGGTACACAACCACCACCACTCTAATTTTGGTACCATTTGAATGCATAAAAAAATCAATCAGCCATTCATTTATAATACAGGAATAACATTATTTTATTAAATTGACGGAGTCCTGGTGTGGCGCTGTGGGTTAGTGTGCTGAACTGCAAAGTTGGTTTGAGCCTCAAGGTCGGTGGTTCAAACTCACCAGCCTCTCCCTGGAAACCCTATACAGGGTTGCTGTGGGTCAGAACTGTCTTGACGGCACTCAACAACAACAAGTAGTGATACGGGTTAATGGGCTGGACTACAAGATCAGCGGTTCAAGTTTACCAGCTGCTCCTCAGAAACTGCTATGTTGTTTGTTGTTGTTGAGTATGGTACAAGGCCACTACTGAGTCGGAGCCAACTCGACGGCGCTAACAACAACAACAATAATCATTAAGGAGTCCTGGTGTGGGGCTGCAGGGGAAGTACTGGACTGCAAGGTCAGTTTGAACCACAAGTTCGGCAGTTCATATCCACCAGCTGCTCCTAGGAAACCCTATACAGGGTCACTATGAGTCGTTATGATCATTAAAGTCTCTCTCTTCACCTATTTTATTTCAACTTTTGTAAAAACCCCCCTAAGTAAAAACAACCGACCATAAACACTTAATACCTAATGCCAACAGCACTAGGATTCTGAAAGAAAGTGGACTGGTGGACTTCTGTAGAGGATGGCCATGCCTCCCCTAACAATGGTAACAACACCAACAACTCACTCGTCAAGTACCAGACCTTATTTTACACTCACACGGATAACTCATCTTCTCCGTAGTGATCTTATGAACTGTCTTATTACCCACCTTTACAAGTGAGGACCTGAAGCACCGAGAGTTCAATCACTGTGTCCAAGTTACCTAGCTGCTATTGTGAAGCGCTGTCAAATCAGTTCTGACTCACAACCACCCTGTAGAGTGTTTCCAAGGAGCAGCTGGTGGATTTGAACAGACCTTGCAGACCAGTACATTATCCCAGTTACCTAGCTAGTAAGTGGTAAGTCTGGAAACTGAACTCCAGCAGTTGGGCTCTTAGCCACTGTGTTGTTGTTAGGGTCTGTCAGGATGGTTCCAACTCATAGCAACATCTACCCCCCACCAGCCTCCGCCACCAGCAATCACCACAGAGTTACTAAGAGTCTATTGGGTTTGTCCTAACTAATTAATTTTTACCAAGTTAAATGTTCTTTCTCAAGGGACTGCTCCCTCCTAGTAACATGTCCAAAGTCTTGCTATCCTTGATTCTAAGGAGCATTCTGGCTGTACTTCCTCCAAGACAGATGTGTTCTGGTTGATTCACTATTTCATGCTGCACTGTAAAGCCCCTTGGGTAGGAGACGGGATTGAAGTCTAGTGACCTTTTACCCTGAGAATGTGCGTGTCACGTACAACAGGCACTAGAGACCTGGACTCACTTTCCTAGGCACGACGCATTCAAAGTTACCCTAAGCTCAGTGCTACAGGTCAGCCTTGATGGCGTTTCAAGGCTGAGGAAATCTGGCAAATCAACAGCCCCCCACCACAGTTTGTCATGAAAGGAGGTCTGATTTGGTGGAAGGAGAACTAGGGGACCTGGTAGGGTACTTCTGGTCTTCCACATTTGCTGTGTGACACTGAGCAGACAGAAGGGCTGCAACGAATGAAAACATGGAGAAATAAGCCACACAATGCACAGACTAAGGTCACTGAAGATGGCACACCAGTGAGCTGGGAGCTGACCCTGTACGTTGAGGACCGTTAGTGACACATCCATGGCAGGATCAGAGCTCTGTTTGAAGACGGTAAATAAATGCAGGTGGAATTACTGAGATGAAACAAAGCATGTGATACGCTGAATGTAAAACTGATGATCCTGTCTGTAAATCTGCACTCAATTCACAATGAAAGGTTTATATGAATAAGTAAATGCAGGTGGATGGGAGCTGGGACTGTTGCAACAAGCCAGGAGAGGGGCAGCTGGGGCTCCGCAGAACTGCTGGAGGGAACGAGAAGCTCCCTAGAAGACACGTGCTGCTCGTCTGGTCTGGGCACTCTGCCGTTCCGACCTCAGCCTACTCCACTACCATACCCATTCCGAGTTGAGAAGCCTGGTTGGTACCTTATCTTAAGAACTAAAAGTACAAATGAAATGAATTTCTTTGAAATTCACATTGAATTCAACCACAAGAGAGGTTAAAGGCGGGAGGCCACTTTCTGAAACAGCGCATCCTTGGATGATGGCGTCTACAGCTACCCTATTCCTACAAAACCCCCAGTCAAGCAAAGATGGCCAACTGCACAATGATCACTGGGTGGGGGAGCAGAGAAAGCAGCTTCCAATGTCCCCAAAGCATCTCCACTTCAACATTCTACTACTACTTTATCTCTAACCCTAAGCCAGGTTCCTGAGATTCTGTGGCTACCAACTGGGTCATTTCAAGTTGCGGTAAAAATATCTCCACCCAAAGAATTCTTAACAACTCAGCAAATAAAATAAGGCAAAATAAAATGTCTGTTCAGATCCTTTGCCCAAATTTAAATAAGCCAATATAAAAATGGGCAAAGGATCTGAAAAGACATCTCTCCAAAGAAGATACAAAACATCCAATAAAAATATGAAAACATACTCAACATCATGAGCCACCAGGACAATGCAAATCAAAACCACAATGAGATACTACTGCATACGCACTATGATGGCTGTCAGTGAAAAAGACAGAGCGTTCCAAGTATTAAAAAGGATGTGGAGAAACTGGAACACTCTGGTGAGAATGTAAAATGGTACAGTCACTTTGGAAAACAGCCTGGCAGTTTTACAAAAAGTTTAACAGTTACCACATGACCCAGCACTCCACTCCTAGGCACATGCCCAAAAGAAGTGAAAACACATGTCCACATAAAAACTGGTGATCACGTGTTCACTGAGGCAAAATATTCTTTATTGCTAAAAAGTGAAAACAATGCAAATGTCTGTTAATGAATGAAGGGACAAACAAAATGTTTATCTAGAATACAGAATACTATGCAACAATAAAAAGATGAAGGACTGATGCATGTTACAACAGAGATGAACCTTGGCAAGTTTACGCTACATGAAAGAAGCCAGACAAACACACACACACACACACGTCACATATTAGATGATTCCAGTTATATGAAATGTCCAGAATAGACAAATCCATAGAGACGGAAAGTAGATTAGACTGGTGGTAGCCAGGAGCTAGAGAGACTGGAGAGAGATCACTAATGGGTATGGGGTCTCTTTTAGGGACAATGACAGTATTCTAAAATTGACTGTGGTGATGTACCTAACTCTGTGATATATATAAAAACCCACCGAATTGTACACTTTCGTAAGCGGGTAAATTATATATGAATTATAAAGCTTTTATTTAAATGAGCATCTCCACTTTTGACCAAGAACATAGCCCGGGTGTTCTAGCGTGGGGCAGACCCTGGGAACCTGGGAACACCAGGCAAGTACTCGGCCTGGGCTAGCTTCTCTCTCTGAAGATGTCACCTATTTGACCCACTTCACAGAGTTGAGCAATTAAACCACAACTGTGAGAGAGGGTGGCACAGTCTCAGGGACACATTAATACGATGATGCTGTTTGTGAAAGTATGTGGTAAACAACAAAGACCTTCACAAGTGAATGGTGGATTTGTCACTTCATATAAACAATGACAATATGTATCAGCAACGACCATCCATTTCCAGTACAGTTCCAAAGACTCACTTGAGTTCAGTGCCCCACTGTTTCAAAGAGAAGTTAATGGAATTTGGATTCCCTGGAGCCGGCTGACTTGCAGCTTGTTCTCCCACCAGCTCTCCAGGGGCAGTTTCCACAGCTAGGACATTTCTGGCTTTTTCTGCAGAAGCGTTTGGGTGTGGATAAAGGAAATCTGAAAAACAAAACAAAATAACACCAAGGGATGTCAGCTACTCAAAGCTCCCACAGTGAACTTGATACACCACACAGAACACTGATTTGATGTCCTGCAAAAAAAGATATATAATGTACATATGCATGTGTGTGTATATATGGTCTTCAGAAAGTCCATGGAAAAATTATATTAACTTTTAATTTCCATTTTCCACAAACTTTTTGAAGCTGACACACATATATAAATATAATACAAGCAAATTATGTATGTTCTTAATGTATAGTACACACAGAATCTACCAATGACTTCAGTACTCTAAAGAAGATCCATGTTTGTCAAAGGAAGACTGTGATATGCTTCAAACCACCAATTAATAATAGCATCCGCCAAGGAAGAGGAGACTGGGATTTTCTTCCAGTCTCGTAGATGACTAAACCTGACATAGACCTGTGATCAAGGACCACTTACCTGTACTGATAAGCAATTTCCAGGATATACTGTTATGTAAAAAAAACCTTTTCTAAGAAAGTGGGAAGAATGCAACTATATATAAGGAGGCTTCAAAAAGTTGTGGAAAATCCCATCATCTTTTAATTTCATTTTTTCCATGAACTTTTTTGAAACTCTCTCACATATATATGAATCAAATCAAACCCACTGTTGCCTACCTAGTCAATTCTGACTCACAGAACTGGTCCATAGGATTGGAGTCCTAGTACGGTGCTGTAGGATAAGCACTGGGCTGCAAGGTGGGTTTGAACTCCTTAGAAATGCTATGCAGGGACGCTATCAGTCAGAACCGACTCGACGGCACTTAACAACAACAGTCTTTATGGAAACAGACCGCCACATCTTTCTCCCATGGAGTGATTATTGGATTCAAACCACTGGCCTTTGGGTTAGTGGTTGCTTAACCATTGTGCCACCATGGTGGTGGCCAAGTAGGTTGTGACTCATAGTAACCCTATATTATGTTTCCAAGGCTATTAATATTTACAGGAGCAGAACACATCATCTTTGTCCTGTGAAGCAGCTGGTAGATTCAAACTGCTGATCAACTCTTAATCCACTACATCATGTACATGCTAACATTTATAAATAGTAACACTGAAAAGATAAGTTTGCATGTCACAATAGTTCAGAAAATTCCTAAGGAAATGCACTGATGCTATAAAGCCTAATAAAACTTTAGATTATAATATCTCTGAAATTTAAGTTTTAACTATTTACAGTTGAAATGACAGGGCCTCCAGGAGTTACTGCCAAACAGCATGAGAGGACGATGTGGTCAGGAGCTCCAGGGAAACAAAACTGGCGAGGAGGTGGTAAGTTTGGAAACTACCAAAAAAGCAAGGGAACATCATGCCAGTCTATCTTCACATGCATTTAAAGCGTCTTATAAAAAACAACAACAAACCAAAAACAAAAAAACCCCAAAACACTGCATTTTTAGCATTTGAGGAAAATGTTTCCAACTACAGATTCTTTGTATTCTTCCTAATGACACGGGACCTCTGAGAATGGGGCCTATGTGTCAGCAGAATTGAGCATTACTTCACCATCATCCATTTGGGCCACACCTCTCTCAAATAAAACATCCCTTCCATCTTGGTCTTATCAACTCTTACTCTTTCTATCACAACAAAATCAGAATGAAAATGCTGAACACAGATAGCTAAGAAAAAACTGATTTTTCTAATCAAATGAGCACCCGTCTGAGTCATTTATTTAGGACAGAGTTATATATATACAGATAAAGTCACTGGCCTGAGATAATCCATAAGCCTGAAGCCAAAAAATACCCACTGATGTCGTCTTAAAAATCTAACAACAGTTTAGCTTCACTAGTTAAGCATGTCTGCCCTGAGAGTTATACTTTTAAGACTAATCTGTAAAAGATCAAACTGACAACAGCAACTGGAAAGATCAGACAGGAGACTGAGGGGCAGTGAGTCTATGTTGATGGGGGAGGAACCACTTGAGGAAAGGTACAAAAGGCTACACAACCGGCAGACTCATCATCTAAACACAAATCTCTGAAATGCACATGTAGATAACGGTTGGATGGGTTGTTTTATGCTCTGTTGTGTATATCGTTGTAACAACAAAAAAATTAATTATTTTTTTAAAAATTCAACAACACATCAAACAAAAATAATACATCATAACCAAGTGGGATTCATTCCAGGGATGCAAGGATGGTTCAATATTAGAAAAACAATCAGTGTAATCTAACATATAAATAAAACAAAGGAAAAGAACCACACGATCCTATCAATTGATGCAGAAAAGGCATTTGACAAAATCCAAAATTCATTCCTGATAAAAACACTCAACAAAGTAGGAATTGAAAGGAAATTCCTCAACATAATTAAGAACCCATATGGAAATCCAACATTTAATATGACCCTCAATGGAGGGAAACTGAAAGCCTTCCCTTTGCAAACAAGAACCAGACAAGGATGCCCTTTACCACTATTCCTATTCAATATGGTGCTGGAGGTCTTAGCCAGAGCTATAAGGCAAGAAAGGGAAATTAAAGGCATCCAAATTGGCAAAGAAGTAAAACTCTCTGGTACTAGCAAAACAGTCTGGTACTGTTACAAATACATAGATCAATGAAACAAAATTGGAAAGCCAGAAGTAATTCCATCCACGTACAGTCAGCTGATCTTTGACAAAGGACCAAAGCACATTAAATGGGGAAGAGACAGTATCTCCAACAAAGGGTGTTGGCAAAACTGGAAATCCATTTGCAGAAAAATGAAACAAGACCCATATCTCATACCATATACAAAAACAAACTCAAAGTGGATTAAAGACCTAACTGTAAATTCTAGAACTATAAAGATCATCAAAAAAATAATCACAAAAGGACAAACATTGTATGAGACCAGTACTGTAAAAAGTCAAAAAAAAGATTTTCATACTATAATAAATATTATTTGATGCTTACCAGAGGTGGGAGGGAAGAGAAAGTAATTCACTGGCTAAAGGGTACACAATGTTAACTTGGGTAAGGGGAATATACAAGAAGGGCAAGGACAAGAGGGTGGAGGGTGACAGAAAAAGAACAAAGATGGGTGAAGACACAGGGAGGTATGCATGGGTAAAAGAAGAAAGAAATCAATAGTGATCTATGCACAACCTAAGAACAACAGTGTTGTTGTGTGTGTAAATACATGGACTGAGATGTGGGCTGAATGGGTAAAGGAGGAAGAGTGATATATATATCTCCCACAAATACATGAGTTTGAAAGAGGTTATATGTACATGAGTATTTACCTTTCAAGGAGTCCTGGTGTGGCATTGTAGGATAATGCACTGGACCACAAGGTTGGTTTGAACTGAAGATCAGTGGTTTAAACTCACCAGCTGCTACTTGGAAACCTTATACAGGGTTGCTATGAGTTGGAACTGACTTGACGGCCCTTAACAATAATAGCATTTACCTTTCATGCAAACACAACTATGAATGTGGTAGAGCATACTGCAAGCAAAAAGATGAAAAATTCCTAGATATTATCAAACATTTTAAGGCAATGAGTTGATGGACCTAGGGGCTCAGGACCACAGTCTCAGGGAACATCAAGGGCAACTGGCATATAACATAGTCCCCTGAGCCAATGTTCTACATCCTGCTTGGGTAAGTAACGTCTGGGATCTTAAAAGCTCATGAGCAGCCGTCTAAGGTGCAGCTACTGGTCTCTCCATAGAAGAAAGAAAGAAGAGTGATGAGAATGGAAGAGGCTTGGAAACAATTAGTCCAATGGACTAATGGAACATGTGAACACCAGTCTCCATGACTCTGAGACCAGAAGAGCTAGATGGTGCTTGGCTACTACTACCAACTGCTCTGAAAGGTATCACATTACAGGGTCTCAGATAGAGTGGGAGACAATGTGGAGAAAAAAAGCTTAAAAAAAAAGGACTGGGTCTACTGGTCAGAAAGAGACTGGAGGAACCTGAGACTAAGACCCTTGACCACCCTTCAGGTCTGGAAAGGAACTCATCCTCCTGACCCAATTTTCAGCCAAGCAGTAAACAGGTTTATGGTGGGGAGTGTGGGGGGCGGGCAATGATATCTAGCAAGGCATACTTACCATGGAATGACCAATCATTAAAAATCAAAAGGGCAACATTTTCCTAAGGACAAAGTTGAGAAGGCATAGGAAGGCGGTGGAATGCAAATAGGAACCACGGGAGGAAGCAGGATAGCTGATGTTGCAGGGAGGGGATTGTAATCACTGAGATGAAACAAAGTGTATTTGTTGAATGTAAAGTTGATGATCTTGTCTGCAAACCGTCACTCAATTCACAATAAAAAGTTTAGAAACTAGAAGAAGAGGGGAGGTTGGCAGAAGCATGATGAAGAAAGGTGAAGACATAGGGACATATACAAGGTTAGCTAAAGGGGTGAGAGGTGAAGAGTGAGACACAACCTCGGAACAACAGTGTTCTGTGTGTAGACGCAAGGACAGAGACACAGGCTGAAGGGGTATGGGTGGAAGAGTGGGATAGATGTATTTAAATATCCCACAAATATGCAAGAGTTTGAAAGAAGATATTTGTACATGAGTAGCCACAGGGTGGAAGTGGAACAGTTCTTGTTACATGGAGGGGACTGCAATCACTGAGATGAAACCAAGTGTATGATTTATTGAATGTAAAACTGATGATCTTTTCTGTAAAGCTTCATTCAGTTCAATTAAAAACTAACCAACCAACCACTAAGCGCAGTGGTGGCTCTGAGCTGGCGCTGACTCGACTGCAATTGGTAAAGTGACTAAAGAAATGTTGTTGGTAAGTGCTGTTGAGTCAGTTCTGACTCATAAGGACCCCATATAGGGTTTCTGAGGTGCAGCTGGTGGGTTTGAACCATCAACTTTGCGGTTAGCAGTCCAATACTTTCCCTACAACGTCCTGCCAGAACTCTGCTCAAGCAAACAGAACATAAATGCAACGTGGGACCTTGTAGGGGATCCAGGACACGGGGGGCAATTGGGGCTGCATGAGAT